ATTCTGGCCCATTCCTCCTGACAGAACTGGTGGAACTGAGTCAGGTTTGTTGCTCCACACATCTTTCCAGCTCTGCCCACAAATGTTCTACAGGATTGAGATCAGAGCTTTGTGATGGCCACTCCAACACACTGACTTTGTTGTCCTTAAGCCACTTTCTGACTAATCTGGCAGTATGTTTAGGGTCATTATCCATTTGAAGACCCATTTGAGCCCAAGCTTTAACTTCCTGGCTGATGTCTTGAGATGTTGCTTCAATATTTCCACATAATGTTCTTCCCTAATGATGCCATCTATTGTGTGAAATGCACCAGTCCCTCCTGCAGCAAAACACTCCCACAACATGATGCTGCCACCCCCGTGCTTCACAGTTGGGACGGTGTTCTCAGACTGGCAAGCGTCCTCCTTTTCCCTCCAAATGTAACGATTGTCTTTATGGACAAGCAGTTCAGTTTTAGTTCCATCAGACCACAGGACATGTCTCCAGAAATGAAGGTCTTTGTCTCTGTGTGCATTTGCAAACTGTGATCTGTCTTTTTTATGTTGCTTTTGGAGTGATGTCTTCTTCCTCTCTGAGCAGCCTTTCAGCCCATGTCGGTACAGGACTGGTTTCACTGTGGATAATGACTCTCTGACCAGCTTCAGCAGCATCTTCACAAGATCTTTAGTTTTTGTTCTGGGGTTGATACGTACATTTCACACCAAAATACTTCATCTCTGGGACATAGAACCCGTCTCCTTCCTGAGCGCTATGATGGCTGGACATTCCCATGGTGTTTGTACTTAATAATAATTGTATAATTATTTGAACAGATGAACTTGGAACTTTCAGGTATCTACAAATTGTACCCAAGAACGAACCAGACTTGTCTTGGCTGATTCTTTAGAGTTTCTCATGTTGTCACAGAAGGAAGCAGAGTGTTAAAGGTGTGCCTTAAAATACATCCACAGGTGTGCCTCCAATTAATTTAAATGTTATCAATTAACCAATCAACAGGTTCCAAAGCCATGACATCATCATCTGGACTTTCCCAAACAGTCTGAAGGCATAGTAATCTTAGTGTATGTAAACTTCTGACTTTGGAGAAAGTAATACAAAATTCTCCAAAGAATTCTCTCTCTCATTATTCTGGCATTAAGCAAATTGAAATAATTTTGGTAATCCTAAGTGACCTAAAACAGGGAAAGTTTAGTCTGATTTAATGTTCAACAGTGAGGAAAAAAAAGAAAGTTATATGTCTTTTTATGGCGTGTATGTAAACTTTTGGTGTATATATGACAAATTAAAATATTAAATTTGGGACCTCACAATGTTTTTTTTTTGTTTTTTTTAAATACAGATATACCTGACTGATTTAAATATTAAGGTTAAGACCCGAGAATGTTATTTATTATATGCATTTACTCAGTCAGATGTCGCAGTTAAAACTTAACAATATTTGATGTAATACAAATTTACATGATAAATCTAATTATTATGGTTTGGACCTTAGAATATTATTTATTATCTAAATTTATCTGAATAATTTAAATGCTATGATTACAACCAAATGATATTTTATACATAATACAGATTTACTTGACTTATTTTTAAAAATTAATAAATAAAGCTAAGACTCTACAAGAGTATACATAATACACATTTATCTGGCTAATTGCTATGCTAAGGTTAAGATCTTGCAATATTTATTTATTATACAGATTTATCAAACTAAGGTTAAGGCCCGTCAATAGTATATGACAAACAAATTACCATGATTAAGTCAAATTTTAGGTTAAGGAGCTGCAATATTATATATTTTACCAAATTATTTGACTATTTTCAAATGTAATGCTAACACCCTCAATATTATACAGAAAACCCAACAAATCCAAAGATTCCTTATGAACAAGCATTACAGACGGATTCTGTTATTGTTGTTAAAAAACTAAACGTGTGTGAAGGGTTATTTACTTGTTCCTGCAGGAACTTGAAGATGTGCGGCCTTCCAGCACACGCATCTTTCACTTGTGCAGAATTTAACAAAAAGCACCAACATACAAGACAAAAACATGCGCACTCAAGATAGCAAAAGGTGTTCTGAAATAAATTCAAGCATTCCCAAAACTTTTCAGAATATAAAACGCTTGTCGAGGGACTCAGGGAATCCTACAAGTTTCACACAGCTTTACACAGAACAGACTGCCCTCAGGAGCTCAACGGAAACACTTTATGTTTTTTTTTGACTGATTTACAACTTCCATGATTTATGAGTTTCATGCTAATTTATATTTGATGGGCTACAGGGAAGCCTGGCAGGAGTGAGAGCTATAATTTACTACTGTGACTGAGCTTTAGCGCCCTTCTGTTTCATTTCTCCCAGTTTCGTCAGCGTTACTTTGCGCGTTCTGTGTTATTCATACTTCTGGGAACGCCCTTGTGATTCCCAGGAGTTCTCGAGGCACCACTTCAATGGTGAATGTAATGAATAGAGTGGTACCAAAGTGCCATTTCCTTGCATACTGTGCATTAGTCTGCATCGGGAACACCTTCTCTCCCGATGTAAATTTACTGGTATTTCCACAAGAAACCCCTTGGGCGTTCACTCGCGTATTGTTACAGTCTTTTCCAATTCATTCTCTCAAGTGCAGCTCCATATTTAACACTGTGATAATATCACAGCTTCTGTAGTCGACTGAAACTGAATGTCATTCAAGGTGTGAATAGCAGCGCTGGGACAATGTAGTATACGCTGTAGTAGTAGTAGTAGTAGTAGTAGCAGGAATCCTAGTAGTTTTTAAAAAAAGAACACAAGGAGATCATCCTAAACACCACACCTTCCTTCTAAGATCATTTCATAACTTGTGCTCTGCAGAGACCACAACAAATGAAATCCTACACCGAGACAATACCGTTATTTTCTTTCCTTTCAGGTCAACCATCCCCCTGAGCATTCATTGTTTCTGAGCGCCCTCTCCCCCACTTTCTTATTGCTGTACATGCAGTTCAACTTATTAAGAATATGTGTGTGTGTGTGTGTGTGGGGCGTGTGTGAAGGAAATGCTTCTGCCTCTACGTCTAAATTTAGAGCCCCGTGCCTCCACTGTCTAACTGTCACAGGCCCGGAGTCGGACATTCAGGAAAGAGACTGGAGGCGTGCTAAGGTTGGGAGAAATCGTACGAGCTCTGAGAATAACACATTTGTTTTTCACACGCTCTAAAAACAAGGCGGCCTATAAATAGCTGTAGCGAGCAGAGGTCAAGGAAGTGCAAATGCGGTGGTAAAAAAAAAGAAGTACAGCACAAAACGGGTAGATAAGGTCATTACGATGCAGTGTTTTTTTGTTTTTTTTGACACTGAGACTATTAATTTATTGAGAAAATGCAGAATTCACATAAAAAGTATCCATTAGATACACTCCCACACGTCGATGCTGTAAAAAAAATCGAATTTGCTGCTTAAGATTGCGAAATGGCTGTTTTGACTCGATGCTGCAAACTCCTCCACAGACACTTATTTCATGCCATAATTAAATTTGACTCAAGTGCTTACACAGTCA